TAGGATATAATTCACGTCAACGTTGGCTATTTGGACCATTAACAACAAAAGCATGTGGTGTGAATGAGGGGATAAGACAAATTTTGATTCCCATGATGAGAACAATCAGATAAAAGAGAACAATCAGATAAAAGAGGGCACAGCCCAGAACTGCATAATGGGTGGAGAAAGAATCTCAGAAGGCACCCTCCCTAACTTCTCAGGCTGTAAAACAGATGGCGGGAGATTCGCACCGTCAGATCTGCAACGTTCAGTTAATGTACCAGTAGCTTTAGAGAACAGTCGGATAAGAGAAGGCATATCCCAAAGCTGCATAATACATAGAGAAAAAGGTTCAGAAGGGACTCTGCCTAATTTCTTGATTGTAATGGAGATGTCAGGTAATTTCAGTCTTGCAAGATTCTGCTAATGTAGCTTTGCCATAAAGTCGAAATAGCTCACCTGGTCGCATTTCCTGTCTGGTGGATCTGGGAAGCTTGACCCATAGAGAACCTTCCATTGTTTTTACTCCAGGCAGATGGTTCTGTGATGTTGGCAAATGGTATCATCCAGGCCTGCCTCGATCCTTTGGGACGGATGGTGTCTCTTTCTTTACTACGCCCAAAAAGGTACGTCTTCCTGTAACTGCACGATCCGTACGAAGCTCTGCAAACAGGGAGGTTCTCCTTTGATCCCTCTGGGTTGGACTTCTCGTTGCAGAGAGGCTGTTCCGGAGGGTTGCCAGGCCAACCAGTTCGTGATCTTTGATGATGTCCCTCTGTATTGGGATGCCTGGGATGTGATGGATTATCACCTGGAGACCAGGTAAGGCGCATGTGTCAAGGTTCCGAGTAACGCATCTCCTTCACGACTGACTGGCCCAATGATGTGACGTTTCTTTGGCAGCCCTAAAGCAAACGCCATGGTCACAAACTGAACACTGCTGGTTGGGATGCAAACCTGAAGGACGTTTTTTTGCTGGAAACGAAGTAAATGGCAGTTTCCGGGGGGAAAAAAACATCTGTCAATTGCTGTCATGTGGCTACCAAATGCTGCAAACAGCAGTAAATGCAGGCCAGTTGCTAGGTGGCCCAAAATACAATCACATGACCGGGGGGGGGGGGGGGGGGGGAAACAGCTCGGCCTTTGGAACTTCCAATCTGGATCCTAAGTCCATTTTTAAGGACTAACTTCCAGAAATCCAGGAATGGGCCTATTTCTGGCTTCCAGAGGGCCTCCGGAGCCCATGGAAGGCCATTTTCGCCCTCCCAGAGCCCCGAGGGAAGCCTCCGGATTCTGGGGAAGATGAAAAACGCCCCTCCCGGAAGTTCCACTAGGCCACGCCCACCATGGCCACACCCACCCATGAACCGGGTAGAGAACTGGTTGTTGGGGTTTTTGAATCCCACCCCTGCCTGTAACCTCTAATTTTGAGGCAGCAATTTTCTAGCCATTCTTTTTTTTTTTTTTCCAGGAAGCCCATCACTCATCTCCTAAAACCCCTGGAAATTTCCACCCCGGGCGGCCTGCGGGGCAGTGTGAGCTTCTCCCTGCAGCTCAGCAAGAGCAGCATCCTAACCCAAGAGGTCATCCTGGATGCAGGGAGTCCTTACATCTCCTTCCAGACTCAGGTTTGAGTTTCTTTTTTCTTTTCCCCATAGAAATGCTGACCAGCCGGGTAAAATCCGACTTTGTCTTTCTTCTTCCGATCTGCAGATCTCCCTTTCTTCATTAGAGCTGCCAATGGGAAAAAAAATCTGCTTCTTCTTCTTCTTTTTTTAATTGCTTGCTTGCATTCCAGGTGGACTGGAACGAAGCTCACAAGTTCCTCAAGGTGGAATTTCCAGCCAAGGTTCGGAGCCCAAACGCCACTTACGAGATCCAGTTTGGGCACTTGCAGAGACCGACGCATTGGAACACGTCCTGGGATTGGGCCCGGTTTGAGGTGAGGTTCTTCTTCTCCCAACTGGTGTTCCCACGATGGAGTGATCAAAATCCTGCTTGTGGTTTTGATGTTCGGCTCTTCAATGGCTCCATGGGGGCCGCCA